ACTGATAAGTAATAATAATATCCTGATCTATTCACCTGTGACCTTAGTATTGTTCCCTACATTATTACCGCCCCATGTAACGGTGGGGGCTCCAATGTATATACTATGTAAATCAAAATTATGTATAGTCCCATATGAAAAATTTTTCATGTAACAATAGCGGTAAAATACCAGATTTTTTAACAAATTTATTAAAAAATTTTAAATTAATAAAAAAATCGCTCTTTTTTTAAAAAATACAGATCTCATTGAGTATCTAAGCAAAATTTCTAAACAAATTAATATGTAAGCTGTGGAGATACAATTTGAAGTCATAAGCTATCTATATGACTTCAAATTGTATCTCCTCCATAACTTACATATTAATTTGTTTAGAAATTTTGCTCAGCTACTCAACGAGTCTGTAATTTAAACAAAAAGAGCGATTTAATAAATTTGTTAAAAAATCTGGTATTTTACTATAGATTTTCGCTATTGTTACACTAAAAATTTTTCATATGGGACTATACATAATTTTGATTTACATAACGTACTACGTTCGTACATATATTCAGAAACTATATTTTGAAACTCCTTTGTTTATAGCAGTACAGTTTTTTGTGATACTTCTTTTCTAGATAAGAAATTTCTATATTTCTTGTAAACTATTCTATTTCCTTTCTTTGTGGTGTAACAACTAATCAAATATAAAAAAACCGTGAGCATCCACGTAAATGAATAAAAACAGATTGAAGAACTTATTTATTTAGTGTAATTGACTTCTTACTAAAATTAATTGTAGATACTACCTCGCGCTTCTTGATATAAACAAATTTTATTAGTTCCAATTGAAAAATTTTATAATAAAAATCTTTTATATAAACTCTATATAAGAAAGATTTTGGCTAGATCTGGTGACATTCATATATCAAGAGTTGTATTAAGAAACTTGCATACGGAATGGAATTAGTACCGCTCATTGTACCAGTATTAACATTGGTCAATAATATTTGTCAGTGGCTTCAATCTAATAATAAAGATAAAAAAAAAAAGGAGTTGCATGAATTGGAGAAGAAACTGAATAATTTAGAAAGAACACTAAATGATCTTAAAAATTATAAGGGTCATTCCTCCCCTTTTAAGAATACATTAAATGATTGTTCTGAAACTTTGAAAGAAATCAAGAATTATCTTAATAGCAAGAAAATAGGACGTGTAAATATATATTTAAATTTTTATATTAATCTTAAAAGCTTTT